TTCTTCCTCCAGGAGGCAAGCCTCGTTCTGAGGCTACTCTGGAGATCACATGACCTTCCTCCAGGAGGCAAGCCTCACTCTGAAACTTTACCTACTGATATCTTACCGGAAAGGTTTACTCAGAGTAAACATTTCAGGGAGAAAATGGCTCTCTCGCGGACATCAGGGAGCAGCTATCTAATAGAGGGAGACTCCCTGAACATCAGGGAGACTTGAGATCCTTGTAAAGCCCAACATTCTTTTTTCTAGTTTTGAATAGAGTAAGGAATGGTTGAAGCCTAAGCCCTGTCAGGTTTTTATTTGCTGTGTCCTCGTTAGGCGATTCTACTTAATTTGTGAGAGACACAACAGGAAGTGAAAGGAAGTATTTACAAAGTGCAGGGCTATCCCCTGGTGGATAGTTGTCACCGGAGCAGGTGTCCACCATTGGAAGTCCCTGAACGAGGCCCTTATGTTCACATCACCAGATATTGTTTGAATGAGAGATGCAGAGACCCTGCAGAATAAAATGGTGACAGTGGCAATTATTTATATGTGCCATGATATTTGCTCTTCTGGTTATGAAATCTATATTTCCAGGTATGAATACAGAAAGAATGCAGCGCCCGCTCATTACATTCATAAAATCTTGTTACTGCTAAGAAGCGGCACACCCAATGATGCAAGAGTCATTGTTCTCCTTATGTAACAGCTGGCATTGCCGCCCTCATCTTGCGTAATGACTTCACGCCATGTTTATGTTATGATCATCCAGAAACATTCAGCGCAGGGATATTAAGGAGAAGCTGGAAACGTATCCCCGGCAGAGAAAACAGTTTGGGGGAAATGTCACTTATTACACTTTCCTCTGATTTCTGGGTATCCTGTGAGGGCTGGTGCACACCTATGCAACACCCCACCGCGCGGCAATCGTGCACGATTCCTCGCGGATTGCCGCGCAGTCAGGAGTCGTATAGGCGCTGTGGGTGCCATTAGTTTCCCACCGCGATTCCGCCCGTGCTTCTGAACACGATCGTGGCTAAGGCAGCCGCGCATTGTGTATCGGCGAAAAAAGGCTAAAATCGTGTTCAGAAGCACGGGCGGAATCGCGGCGGGAAAACACAAGATCCATCCGGCGCGACTGGGGTGCCATTGGAAAATAATGGCACCCATAGCGCGATTGGTGCACACCTGTACGACTGTGCGCCGATCCATGCGTAATCGTGCACGATTGCCACACGGTGGGGTGCGCACCGGCCCTAAAGTCGGGGAATCTGTAACAATGTAGCACTGGGGTGCAGATGGAACAGCCTTGGAGCAATGGGCGAAAAATTATATGAAGGCTTGGTGCACCCCTAGGCGATTTATCGCTTGTTTTGAGTCGCACGATATCGCGCAAAACACAGATTCACATTGAAGTCAATGGAGGCTGTTCACACCTTTGCAGTTTGTCACGCAGACAAAATCGTCCGTCTCGCAAAAAGGCACAGGAGCTATTTTCGGGAGGTTGTCGCGCAGTTTGAGTCCCATAGACATCTCTAAAGCGAGCGGTTTTCAAAGAATAGTTGCGCAAATGAAACCCTGCGCGACGTCCACGCGAAAACCGCTCGCCAGCTCAGTCGCCTAGGCGTGAACCTTAGCCTAAATGGTATCTAGGAATAAATCAGTATTTTTACATCGATTTTCCATAAGTTCTATCCCACTCTTTATAACCATATCCATGTAGAAGTTTGTAAATGTACTTATTGAAGATGCCCATAGGATCTACTTCCTGAATGCACTGGCACAGTTTCACTCACCCCTGTAATTATGCACTTTCTTGTGTCACAACTGTCACAGAGCCTGCCTTCTGAACTACAACTCAACAGCTGAACAATGTAACATTATCAGTGCTTGCTAGAAAAAAAATGCATGATGGGATATGTAGTCTTGAGATACTGAGATTGCATCACATCAAGCAGAAGGGAAAGAGACACAAAGCACACTGGGAATCCAGGAAGTTGGTGAAAGTGATGGACAGACGGAAGGCAGAACTCACTACATAAAAGGGATTTTTTCCAAGCAAGCTTTGATTGCATTATCAGAAAATATAGATATATCTATGTATATATCTATATATATCTATATATATTCCTATATATATATATATATATAGGACCCACTCTAGGTGCCAAATGATAAATAAAATATGCTCTTGTGATCCATCCGGCCTTGACTGTGTGACTCTATTAACATGCAGAAGGTGCCAACATTGTTTAGAGCCAGACACTTCGCTCTGTGCCACTGCCCCGCCTCCTATCTTAGCTCTGGGAGGCTAGTGAACAGCACCACATGGGTGATCCCCCCACCTGTAATCCCCTCTTATACCTTCCACCCATCCACTTACAGAGCAAATCTGATTTTAACTTTCAGCTGGTGTGCATCAACTCAAATTATTCCACTTGCATTATTTCAAAAGGGTCTTATGGCTTTTAAAGGATAATAAGCGACCCAGAGCTCCCAACATGAAAAAAGGGATGTCTTTTGGCACAATGTAGAAGAACCCCACACTCCCTGCAATATTATTATTATACAGGATTTATATAGCGCCACCAATTTGCGCAGCGCTTTACAATATAAGGAAGACATTACAATACAATTCAAGACAAGATGGTAGGGCCCTGCCCATGAGGGCTTACAATCTAAAAGGGAGGGACAAGTGATACATGAGGAGGTAGCTGTGTGGGGATGAATTGTTTGAGTGATGTAATATGCAAGAATTGATTTGGTAAACCCACAAGTGATTTATTCTCCACTCTTTTGCTTTCCAAAATAAATGCATTAATTTAGAGGTTGGATGCAACGTTTAAAGTGGTATTATACTTTTGATGTCCATGCACTAATATAAAGAGGGGCATACAGATTGTTATTTATTTATTTTTTTGCTCCTAGACAGGTACTCTTCAAGCCACTGACAAGCTAGGATTTGTGAGACATAACTGATGACAGAGGCTCACTTCCTCTTCTCTCCCTGCGCTGTCTGCAGAGAGATCTGATTAGTTAAACTACACGTTCATTCATAATTACTGCTGCGTACCCTTTAAGTGAAGATGTCAAGGGCCTCGGCTATTTCCGGAGATCTTCGGCTCCCTCTTTCGGGAAAAAAAAAAAATAATAACACTGCGAGGCGATCGCCCATCTCGGCTATCGCTGCGAGGCTCACGGGCCGGCCACGCCCACGGGACGAGCCCACGTCCAATCGGGATGCAGGAGCTAGGGCAGAGTGTGTGTGTACAAGTGCAGGGGACACGGGATGGGCGGGGAAAGTGAGCAGGGAACCGGCGCATGCGCAGTGCCTCCCTCCCCCGCGCCGTGCTGTGTGTGTGATGTCTGGGCTGGAGAGTGGATTTTAAAGATGGCCGGAGCGGCTCCCGTCTACTGTGTCTGCCGGCAGCCGTACGATGTGAGCCGGTTCATGATCGAGTGCGACATCTGCAAGGACTGGTTCCACAGCAGGTAAGCGGGGGCTGGGTCGGCTGATGGGTCCTGGAGGGGGGAAGAGGGCATCTGGGCTCCTTGGAGACGGCTGGGACAGGGAGGATCATAACAATAAGGTGGTCTGGGGCAATGGAGTGAAGTCAGGGCCCCAGACACTCTTAAAGGGACTGTCCTTCTTCACTTGCTGCACCCATAAAGACATCGGTCCCCAGGATCTGGCTGCTGGGTGAAGCTTTGTAACTCACTCGGGTCTCCTAAAATGCTGGGGTGCACAGATGTCACCCCCTCCCCCAAAGTAGCTACGTGATCACTGTCACTGACACTTGGAGTGTTAAGTGGCGAGCAGAAGGGGAGTGACCTGGTGAGAGTAACGTGTTCAATACATTCTGGGGTGACATGCCCCCCCAAAAGTAAATGCAACTGCCACCCCTGAAAAGTGACAGGATGGGTGACAACTTGTCCCCCCTCAACTGTGCTGCCATGCTGGAATCCTACTGGACCCCTGAAATCACTGATGTGTTTGTATTGGTGACCCCCAAAAGTGCTGCCCCTTTCCCAAGTAATTGTCATCACTTACCATGGTGCCCAGGTAGTTCATAGCTCTCAAGCATTGGCTTACCCCAAAAGTATGGTCATGTTGGGGGTCATAGCTGTGCCAACCCCCCGCCCCCCTAAATTAGCTTTTGGACAGCAGCACCCCAATGCATTGTCCAACCTGGGTCATAGCCCCCCAAATGTTGACCTACATGGTCCCAACCTACCCCAAAAATGCTCTCATACTGAGGTTATATTTGTCTCCCCCAAATTTAACTGACCCCCACCCACCGCTCTTGGCCAAAACGTTTGACCCACCTGTGTTAATTTGCAACCTATGGTCTTGTCAGGGTCTAATCAACCCTTCCAAGATAATTGACCTCCCTGCCTGGGGCACCTAAAACTATTGACCTAACTGGGTCATAGCCCCCAAAAACTGGGTTTGATCCCTGTTTACCATATCTATCACACCAAGGAGTGGCACCAACTATGCCCCCCCCCCTCTTAGAGTGGAGTGGCGCCAACTATACCCCAAGTCATGTGTTACTGGTCCCACCATTCATGCGCCTTCAGAAAAGTATTACCAAGTAGTCATGTCATCATTGACCCCAAGCCAAAATAATTGTCAGGTGTCCCTCCCCTGCCCACATGAGTGAGTGACCTATTTAAAGGTAGACCAGTTATTTTAATGGAGAGGTGGGCTCTCTTCTGAGTTTAAAACTCCACCAAAAGTTTTGCCCCCCCCCCCATCATAATAGAATCTGCCATGGGACTTTTGTTGTTGTTCGTTCCTGATCACCGTGTGCTGTGTGACCTCGCCGGGATCTGTCAGTGCTCATTGTTCACCGGGTACATCGCAGTGTCTGCCGCCCGGTCATGTTCTCTGTACCCTCAGGACAATGGATCACACACCGCACTCCTCATACGAGCACCTCACCGTTTCCTTTTGTTTGCAGCTGACAACGGCCTGTAAGCTAACTTGCCGCAATCAGCCCATTCCGGCTTGGCTTTATATATGTGTATTATGATCGCCAGGCAAGTGTCCGCACTTGTGGCTCTCTGGAAGTTCCATGTGTGTGTGGGAAGTGTGCGGGGACGGCGGAGGCTGTTTGTGGACATTTAAACAAAGGAAGTAGTTGTCGATTCGCTCTCAGCCCCCGTGCGGGCTCCCCTGCTGTCCGCATACGATCTGTTCTCGCACACTCCGCTCGCTTGTGGCGGCGGCGGCGGCCGGGGCTGTGTTTTTGTGTCGGTTGTTTGTTGCTCTGCTCTGGTTTCCAGCTTTGTTTGCAGGCATCAGGCCGGGGTATTTGCTCAGACGCCGGGGGAGGAGGAGGTTGTGATTGTAAGGGGAGCTGTTGATTGACAGCATGGCTTTGAGGACATTTAAATCCTCCCATTGAACAGCACGCTGCGCTCTCTGCCGCCCCCCGCGGACACACGCCGCAACGGCACCCCCAGATGACAACTTCTGTTCTCTGCTCTGGATTTGGAAAGCACTTTTTTGTTTTCTTGTTCGGTGACCTCAATCTGTGTCCTGCTACTTCTTCCTGCCTCCTGATACCTCCTGATAGTGTAAAACAAACTTGGCTGATGACTTCCCTCTCCTTTTCATTGCACTTTTGTATCTCCTGTTTCTGCATTTTATCATTTTTTGTTTTTGTTTTGTTTGTGTTGTTTGGCTTGATCTGTTACTATTAATAACTTTACTATTTGTTTCCCTCCCCTGTGCAAATTTGTATCTCTATTTCTGCATATTGGGCATGTTCACACCATGTCGGACCAGAAAGTTTTTTTTTGTACGCACCTGAAATGCATCTTGATGTATTCCTATAGTATTTCTGGGCTTAGTTCACACTAGTGCAGGGGGAAAAAATGCTGCATGCACAATTTTTTTTTCTGGTCTAAAACGCATGCAAACTCATCAAAGCACTGGACTGCACCTGAAAGCGTCAAAAACGCACTGCAGATTTGAGCCAGAAGATCTGGTGTGAACAAGCCCTTTATCATTTTTATGTGGGCTTTTGTTTTGTTTTTGTGTTTGGCTGGATCTGTTACTATAAAAATAACTTTACTGTTGATTTCCTGCCCTTTTTGTTTGCTAATGTTATCTGTACATCTGTATTTTATAATTCAGTTTTGCTTTTGTTTGTTTGTTTTGGGTTGTTTGGCTGGATCTGCTAGTACATTCAAAAAGTGTACTGTTGGTTTTTCTTCCCTTTTTTATCTATACATCTGTATTTATTTTTTATAAAATGGCACTTTAGGCATAACACTGATACATCGGCGCATCCCTGATTTCTTTCCTCCCCGCTGGGCGCTGCTCTGTGTCCCAGCCGGGAGGAGAGAAACTGTGATAGAAGGCCGAGCGCTGTGTGAGGAGAGCGCAGTGAGCGGCCGGCGTCTCCTCCTATCACAGTCCGGACACATCGCTGTCACAGGAGGCTGGGCTTTCCCTCCCTACACCGCTCGCTCAGCCTCCTGTGACAGCGTGTCAGAGAGGAGAGCAAGCTACACTAGTATCGGTGACAATACCAAGTAGTACTCGCCCAAATGCTCAGATACAGGAACTTGCAGTCAGAGGGAAATCTCCCTCTGACCGGCAGTACCGAGGGAGCATGGAGCTGTTATGACCCACCTTCCGGCTTCCTGATTGGCTAGAAAGCCGGCTTCACGTGTTACTAAGCAGCCTGGCTTCCTAACCAGTCAAGGAGCCGGCTGGCACATAATAAACCGGCTTCCTGACTGTTCAGACCAGACGGCGTTGGACTGCAAAACACAACGACTGACGGAGCTCTGTACAGCTGCATTTTAACAATATTCAGCAGCTGGCAAACTCGACGAGTATTCTGAAAAAGCTATGTGCGCACTGCAACTGTACAGAGCTCCAGTCTTTCTGAGCACCAGAAGTGAGGTAGTTGGAGATCTCGATGAGTTGGAGCTTTCGATAGAACGCCGGCTTCCTAGCCAATCAGGAAGCCAGGAGGCGGGTATTGACAGGCCGCCCGGCTTCCTGATTGGCGGTGAAGCTAGGTAGCCGGCCTTCCTGACCAAGGTGAGAAGCATTTTTATTTTTCACTGTATGTACATGTTGGAGATTTCCATTCACTTGCTCTTCTTGAGACTCTACAGGAAATGGAAATTTCTGTAGAGACTCTACAGGAAATGGGAGAAAATCTCTCCAAAGTGAACTTTAGATGCACAAGAGGAGTCTTTGGGTTCTTGGCATCGTTACTGACGGCTCAGAGAGGGGTCATCAAGGGGGGTCCATCATTTTTTGCTATGGGGCTCCCGTGATCTGTAGTTGGGGCCCTGCAAGCGACGCTTCTGATTTCAAGCAGATTTAGTTGTGACATGTCTTTGACCTCCGATAATGATTGTGTTTGGAGGTTGAATGTGCTTCTTATCACATATAGGGCTGCAGCTAACGATTATTTTCAGAATCGATTAGTTGCACGATTGTTTTTTCCAACTAATCGATTGGTTGCATTAAATCTCTCAATCGATTATTATCCATTAGTTGTTGCAGCCCTAATCACATGGGGAGGGTGTTAAAGAGCAAAAAAAGGGAAGGACCAAAGTCGCTGCACGTATGGTGCCGACAGTCATAATGGCCTCCCGAAGCCTGCTAGGAAGCTGACACTTTCTGGAGTGTCAGTCTTCTGTGTCCTGGGCAGTGCTCACTGATTCTGCCTGTCGACCGCCTCCCCATATGTCACTATTGTGTCCTGTAATGTGTTTTATATGGCCCTGCATTGGCAAGAGGGGCGGTGACATGACCAGTCAGAGGCCAGCAAGGAGGGGAGGGGTGATTTTACACCCTTTAAGAATGGCCCAGAGTTAGAATTTAACTTGCCAGTATATTGGGGAAATCCTACGGCAGGGGGTAGCAAAATTCTACTGCAAACTCCAGCCCTCCAGCTGTTTTGGAACTAGAAATCCCATGAGGCATTGCAAGACAGGGACTGGCATGACTCCCAGAGGCAGATGCATGATGGGATTTGCAGTTTCACCACAGCTGTTGGCCCGTAGTTAGGCTACCCCATCCTACAGACTATGTGCAGAGAATGTCTTTAAAAACGTAGACCCAGAACTCCAGTGCTGTACACTCAGCCGCCGCGCTGTCGCGGCTCTTGTGAATGTTCCCCTCCCCCAACCATGTAGCCAGTATTACATTGATGTGCAATCAAATAACCATTTAGACTGCTAATCAGAGGTGTGTGTTTGTGTGTGTGTGTGTATTGATCGCCTGTGCAAACGGCACTCGGAATCAATTGCTGTGTAAATATTTAGCGTTCTTGCAAAATTACATCTGGAAGCCGCATAATGTGCCACCTGCTGAGACTCCAACTCTATTTCTTCCTAATTCACCGTTTGCTGCTTTCAGCCAAAATCCTCTCCCTAACCGATCAATTGTTTCAAAGCCGAAAACAATGATCTGATTACCGTGGATTGGTGATGCACTTGAGGTGCAGATTGGCTTT